CTTGTTTTTGCGAAGTATTTCTGTGTCTAGTGTCCAGCTTGTCTTCATGAAGCCAGCGGGCATAACTATTTTGCTCACCACTGCACACCAGCTCCAGAGAGCCATTCAGTAAGTACCGTGAGCACTTACTCTGGGACGAACCCGGTTGCAGATGCCTTGGGATACAACAATGCCTTGGTTTACGTTTTAAAGAATCACCTGGGGCTGCTGAACTGCAAAGAGATCGGGGGTGGGGTGTGGGAACTAATTAGGGACACAGCGCAGTAAGGGTGGGATGTGGGGCCAGGACGGCCAAGGGAGGTGCTTTAGGAGTCTGACTCTAGGAATATTTGGATATATAATGAGGTGAACATATTAGGAGATAGGAGAGCTAGAAAGAAGGTAGGGCAAACACAGGGCTTTAGGCCATCACATGAGATACAGAAAACTGAGCAGGACAGGCTTGAGCAGGAGAATCCGGGATGCGATGCTGCATGTGCACCACAGGGACGGTGCGGTGCACACACAGCCTAGAACGGAAGTGAGGCTGGGGCTAACTCTAAGCTCTGGCCTCTAGAGGGCTTGGAGCTGATGTTTAAAGTGAAGACTGAGTCCCAGAGCACTTCAATATGCAGAGGCCGGGAAGGAGAGGTGACGCAAGGACACCTACCGAGCAGCGGGGAGCACGTGCGAGCCAGCTCTGGGCACTAAATGCTCTTCCTACGATAAATGAGACAGAAACAAGGACCTGGCCCAGAGACCTAGCAGCGTGCAGCTCACTCGTGACCTGGCAAAGAAGCTCTGATGTAACTGTAGGAGTGAACGGACTCAAACACGTGTCGCCTCGGGGAGTACCACATTAGACAACTACTGCCCCTCTCCCACGCGCCCACCCTCCTGTGGTAGATCTCACAGACCTGCTCAGGAGCTGGCCCTCAGCCCCGAGCCACGGCTGCCGCACACACAGATTCTCCCTCGGCAGCCTCCTCCAGTCCATGAAGAAGAGCCACCGAAGCCAGGAAGGAAGGCTGGACTCTGATAGATGACGGGAAAGCAACCGTGCGACTGCTGTTCTAGGCAGGGAGAGAAAAAAGCTACTGCTTTCCTTAAACACGTGCCGGTTCTAAATGTTTTCCTTTTCGTTGTTTGTGAAAGCAGAAATGAGAAGCCACGTGTTTAATACATAAATCATTGTTCTAGTCTGAATATAAGTAAATACATAAGTATCAAAACATTCTCCCTGGAGCCACCTGGCAGCCTTGTTGAGTGTCCCACTGGGGGTGCCTGCCTCCTGCTCTCTGACGTGGCGAGTGAGCTGGCAGGGGGCTCTCTGGAGATGGGGCTCCAAGGCCCCCAATACAGGTTCCAGGGAGAAGCCTAGCTAAATACATATGTAACACTTATAACCAACCAAAATGGTAGGATCCAAAACTGTAAAGATTTCCTCCAGGTAAATGCCCTACGGAAGAAAAGAAGGAAACGAACAGAAAATTCACAAAGGAGGAACCAAATGGGATGATAAGCCTTGGTAAGATTCTCAGCCTCACTATCACTCAGGGAAACATGAATAAAAAGTACAAATGGTTATTACTTTATGTCCATAAGACTGGCTGAAGTGTGTAAAGTCCGGCAACGCGCAGTCTGATAAGGTATACAGCACTGCAACCTCTCATGCGGCTTTTCTGGTCACTCTGGAGAGTCTCTGACAACATCTGGCAAGCCTCAAAGCACGCAAGCCCCACGCCAGCACACCAGCCTAAAGTATCTGCAACCTAGAGAAAGTGTCAGATGTGCACAGAGCGGTAGGCACAGGGATATTCTTTAAAATATCCTGCGCAATTGAAAATGAAAGCACCTTTTAGGGTCTCAAACAGCTAGCTGACTACCAACAGAACAGACTTCAAACGAAAAGCAGTATGTTCTAGAACTGACTGCGCTGGTGACTTAAATACTGAGCAAGTACCGACAGCAGCACAGTCACTGTGGAAGTGAAGCCTGTGGAAAGAGACCCATCTATATGTAAAGGTACCACGGAGGAGGAGCTCAGACGCATGCGAAGCGCACGTGTTGTCCAGGAAAAGCACGGAGCAGGCTGCGAAGTCAGGAGAGCCCTTACCCCTGGGAGGAAGAAAAAAGGGCAAGGAGAGAACTGCCTCAATTATACATGTCATTTTTTTCCTACACTCAGCGGTAGAACATGGACATTTACCATATTATTCTCTATATTTCTATATGCCTGAAATTTCAAATCACTGTAACAAAGTTAGTACATTATTAAAGTACATCTTCCGTCTGGCATCCAAGCCTCTGCACAACGGCCACTGCAGCCCATCCCGCACCGTTTCCCCCACCCCGCGGCTCCCAGGCCTGAGACACGCAGATCACCTTCCGTATTCTCGCCGCGTGTGCTTTCTGTAGACTATGATTAAGAAACATTTTCCTTCTCATCATTTCCAACCTAAGTAGCCCTACACTGTTAATAAAAATGGGAAGCCACGTGTTTAATATATAAATCGCCGTCCCAACATGAACGTAAATACAGACACAGGCCCTAAACATTGGCCCTAGAGCCACCCGGCAACCTCACTGAGCGCCCCACTGGGGGTGCCCGCCTCCCAAGGTGGTTCTGACATGGCGAGTGAGCTCGCAGGAAGCCTACTGGAGATGGGGCTCCTGGGCCACCCACAGGGGTTCCCGGGTGACAGCAGACAAAACCCGGCCATCTGTCCACTGCGCCTGCCCATCCGGACTCTGCCATTCTCTGGGTGAGCGCCTGGCTTTCCTTCTCCTACGCCCGCCCTCCTAGTTGCTCAGCTGCACGTGACCCTCCTCGCTATGCCAGTGGAAAGGAGCCCCTGCTCGAGGGCTCACCTTAAACCCCGGGGGCACAACGTGCATCTGATTCGCGACACCTCCTGCCCACAAACTGCCATTTATCCCTGCTTCCCTGCGCGCGCCCGTCACGCTCAGCGCAGTGTGTCCGTCTGTCTCGCCCTCTCCGCACAGTGGGAGGAGGGTGGACGCGTTCTAGCTTACTAGAAGGCAGGGATTCCCTTGGCCACTGAGGCTTTGTGCACAGCAGTTACTGAGAGGCATGCTGCGCCGCACTCTGCTCCACGCACTCTTCTTTAACAGTTTGTTACTGTTTTAAACATCACATGCACAGAGTGCCTCAGATATCGAACCTGAGTCTCTAAACCTCCTAGCTTCAGTCTCGAAAAGAGAACATTGAGAATATACACTGTACAGTGGCAAATAATTTTTAGGTTCTTTTAATTTTTCAAGAGAAAAAACAATGGTTTAAATGAAATGGTTTTTAGGGAAAAAGAAAAAAACTCCTTAACTTACAACTACCCAAACAAAAGCTAATGATCAAATTATTAAATGAGTTTTAGGGGCTGGAGAGATGGCTCAGTGGTCTAAGGCACCTACTTAGAACAAGCTTGGCAAAGTATCAGGGACCGCGGTTCAATCCCCCAGCACCACATGCCAGCCAGCCC